AGAAGCTGGGGCCAGCGCCCCCCTTCTTGCCCAGAGTTACAACGACTCAATGGCTGGTTTGAGGAACTTCTTGGAGGCATTTTGTTTGGTTTTGTTTTGTCCTCACAAGCAGTGCTTGAGGGCCCATGGGCCACTCCCTGAGATCCTCTGCCAGGCTCTGGGGGACTGAGGTTCAGTGCTCAGGACCGGAGGGGCTGCAGCGGTGCTGTGGGGGACATATGCAAGGCACTTTCGAACCTTGACTCTGGAGGCAGGCAGTGTGTGTGTGTGTGTGTGTGTGTGTGTGTGTGTATTGGCCTCACCCATGCAAAGCAGACGTTGTACTATGAGCCTGTCCACAGGCTGAGGACATTCCTTATAGCTGAAAGTCACAGCACTACTAGCCAGCATAGCTCCAGTTGAATAGTGACACTCCCCTCAGAGGCCAGGGCCTTTGGGATGGTCTTGACCAGACTGAGTTGGACCCCAGGCAGCCTCAGACCCAGTCGGGAGTGCCAGGCAAGGCAAGTGGGCTCTTTTGGATGTTTCTCCCTTAAAGGCGTTTCACATTTCAAAGTTTTCCTCCCGCACAGCGGTTTGGCAGGCTACTGCAATCCTTGCACATAAAGTTTAAATTATGGCTCCTGGTGTCTGCGCGCGTCCCGGCTCTGGGAAAGCTGATTAGGATCCATTTCAGGATGAAGAAGGGCCTGGTTAGCTCAGGGCCTCATTGTGGATTTTGCACTAAAGCCAGCACCCACTGCTGCCGAACGTGGGAGGGCCTGGGCTGCCCGGGGTGGGCCTTCTGCAGGGCCAGGGGTCCTGGGTGGGCCCAGAGGTTAAGGCCCAGCACTCAACAGAGAGACTGGGAGTTCTGCTCTGCAAAAGGCATTTTCTAACCCTATCAGCGTTTTTACTTTACTGTAAACATTTTATTTTTTGTTTTGTTTTTGCACCACATTCGGTGGTGTTCAGGGCTTCCTCCTGGCTCTCTGTGCTCAGGGACCCCTCCTTGCAGGGCTCGGAGGAGCATATGAGGTACCAGGGATCTGACCAGGTATGGAGACAAGCCAGGCAAGAGTCTAAATGTCTGTCTGGCTGAGGGATTTTATTTTAAATAGACAGTGGGTGATGGGTGTGTGCGTAACCCCAGAGTGACTCAGGGAGGACCAGGAGCTGGTGGCACAGGGTCTTTACCTGGCCAAGTCCTGCTCACCTTCTGCCACCATCCCTGGTCACTTTTCCCAGTGGTCTTTCAGATGGGGTGAAGGCCATGCTTCCTTCTGTCCCTCTGCCCAAAGCCTGCTTCTTGGTGGGGCCCCACACTGGTTGCTGAATGAAGGTTCCTGTGGCCAAGAAGCACAGACTTCACCGGCACAGCTAGAGGCTTTATTCCACTGCCAGACTGCCCAAACAATGCATGTCTAGGTGACATATTTTGGGGTCCACCCTCTTTTTTTTGGGTTTGCAAGCAAACACAAGCAAGTAGAGGCAGCAATGTCAACAGCTGCTCCATGGGGATCTGCATATGAGGTTGTACCCCTTGTCTTCAAAGGCCTGAGTGAAGTGCTTCTGGCTCAGCTGGGCACCACCCAGGGGCTTTCTCCTGGAGAGGAATGGAGGGAATTGGACATGAAATACGGGAAGAAGCCAGAGCCATTAGGACTGTCTGTACAAGTCAACTAGTGGTAGAGCTTTATTCAAGAATCTCTATGTACAGGACTTTCTGTGCGATGCTGGAACGCTGGTCACTATAAGTCAGGGATCATTCTTAGGTAATAGAGTCAGAATTGGAGTTGGCCAGAGTTCTGGAGCTAAAGTTTCAGGAATTATGTAGGCCTTTAAAATAATCAGACATTTTATCCGTCCCTTTCATCCTCCTATACAGTCATCACATTGACTTAATCTGTAAGAAAGGCAAGTAATTTTCTTCCACAAACTCCCTCCCTCTGCCAAGCTCCTCAGTGCACGGCAGATTTGCTGAAGAGACGACTTACTCTGAGCAGCTGCGAACACTCGGCGTTGCCCCATCACCGATCTTGGTGCTTCTTTTCCCCAAAGAAGCACAACTGTGAGTTTTATCTACAGCATCATGGAGGAGAGCAGCATTTTCATCTACCGTAAAACAGCAAGACTTCCAGTTCAATGAGTCTTTGTCTATAAAACTGACTTATGTGGCTGACCCAAGATAAAAGGGGGACATAAATCTTGGCCACTCCTTGCACAGGGCAAGCAGGCGCTGCTTCTCTCCCCTTGGATCTGGCCTGGCTGACAACTGCTTTGACCAACAGAGTACGGCAGGATGGGGGCAAAGCCATGTCTTGGCCAGCTTTCAAGAAAACAGGCTACTTTAATGATGCTCTCTCTTGGAAGCTGAAGCTACCAAGTAAAAAGAAAGATTACTTGGCTGGCGGGGCCACACAGAAAGGGGCTGAGTTGGCATAGAGAAGATCTCAGCTGTGTCCATTCTCCTGGTTATTCCCCAAGATATCAGATGCATGAGTAAGACCGGCTTATACTCCTTAGCCCAGAGTAGCCATCAGGTAATTGCCACTTATGTGACGGCCCTCAATGTCACAGACAGCAGAAGAATTACCCAAGTCAAGCCCTTCCTGAATTCCTGACCCACAAACCTACACGATACAGTCATATGTGTTTGGTTTTTTTTTGGTGGGGGTGGGATGGGGGGTTGAAGAGTATATTGTTTAAAAATTTGAGGCCAGAGAGATAGTACAGTGGGTAGGGCACTTGCCTTACTTATACATCCAGCATCCCATATGGTCCCCTGAACACCTCAAGGAGTAATTCCAGAGTGCAGAGCCAGGAATAACCTGTGAGCATAACTGGGTGTGGCCCACCCACCCCCTAAAAAAAGTTTGGTTTGGGGCCATACCTGATGGCTGTAGAGGCTACTCTAGGCTCTCTGCTGGGTATTACACCTAGCAGTGCTCAGGGGACCATGTAGTGCAGTGTAATACTCAAGCCATTGAGTCATCTCTTTGGCCCCAAAGTGTGCAACTTCGACCAGACTCCCACTGACACCCATGAACCCCTGCTGTGGCGTTTGAACTGTTTTCTTCTGAGATCTTCCCATTTTCCCCAAGCCATTGCAATGCAGCTCTTCCTGCCCTGTCCCTCACTGTGTCAGTGGAAGACACTTGCCTGATTCCCTGCAACCAGCACCTCCAAACACAATGAATAGCAGTGGACTTGGCCTTGACCTGACCCAATTGTGATCTTCTCCCAGTCTCAGAGAGTTGGGACTCATGAGGGACTGAGAATTTTGTAGTGGGGACTCCAAGATCTGAGCTATAAGCTTGGTGGGGCCTAGGGAACACTCCTGTTGTGCAGGTGTGGTGGAAGCTGGCCTACGGGAGAAGAGTGCAGGGGTGTAGAAGGAAGGGGCTGTGCAGGGGAGAGGTGGGGAGGGGAGAAGCCAAAGTGCGGCCTTGGTGCCTGACTTTTTTCTGGGCCAGGCTACGTACATTTCCTCTGGGATCTATGAGCACCCTGATACCGTGCATTCTTAGCATCCTTCTTCTCTTCCTTAAATGGCTATGAATGGATTTTCCTGTTTTTTTTTTTTTTCTAATGTAGTTGGAAAAAAAAAAGTGTCTCCATGGTGCCTGAGAGAAGAATATTCAGTCCTGGAAACTGGAGTGAAAGTCTCCCGGGCAGTGAGGTAATGGGAATGATCTTTGGCTCAATGTCCAAGAGAGGCCAGCGGGTGTGTGTGCGTGGGGGGGGCTGTGGCCCAGTCTGATGTCCCAGGGACACCCGCACTCACAGTCAGATACCAAATGCTCTCCCCACATGCTTCCACCCAACTTGCCTCCTCTGACCTGGGCGAGGGAAGCAGCGATGTCAAAGCCGAAGCAGGGAGAGGCTCTTGGAGCATCCCTGGGATCTCACATCCAGCTGGGCACAAAACCTGATGTGAACCTGCTCTGATTTGGATCACTCCTCCACAGCTAGGGGGCTGCCCCTTCCCACCCCCCGCTGGCCGTGGTTCTCTCTCCCGAAGCAGGATTGATCAGACCATTGCTTGGCCTTTCCACTGTTCTACTCCCTGTTCTCTGGTTAGCAAGGTCCTCCCTGAACATGGTAGGCCATGTCACCCTGCATGAACCCTCACCTGTTCGCCCTGCTGCGTGTCCACCCCATTCCCCTGCAGGGAGCCTCACATACTGACCCTGCTGTGTGTCTGCCAATTTCTCTCAGGCTGAACTAGCCTCTGCCTTCCTCGCCTGTGAACCTCAAGCTGAAGCCAAGGCCAGACTGGAATGACTTGGACATTGGGAGGGTGCTCTCTTGTCTTCAGTGGGGTGTTAAGGAGTCTGCCTGCACTCCCAATGTGCTGTCAGATAGGTGCCATGACCTCAGTATTCCTGGGGGTGACACAGAGAGTAACTCATCCACCGTCATGCACCACATATCATCTGGCCTTTTCTGTGCCAGTCTGGACCCTGGTCAGTAACAGAGCCAACCAACGAAGTGGCCTCAGTTTCCAGAGCAACTGCTGCAGAGTGACCCTCCCCTCCATGCTGCTTACAGGTGTCTGTCCACCCTGGCCTGGTGCTCAAGGACAGCATAGTCAACCGTGGTCTCTGAGCCCTGAACGTGGCCACTGAATCAAAGCAGGGATTCAAGGTGGGAAGTCCATCCCCACTGCAGGTGCTTCGAGCAGAGCTGCCTTGACCCACACAGCTTTGACGGTTATGAGGTATGTTAAACCACTCTACAGCTTTTGCTGAGGAATCATCAGAGGTGTGGCACATCCCACATGCATACGACTGTCCATGCAGAGATAAAACTCTGGTAATGAAACAGGTGGCCAAGAGGAAACCACCATTCTCCATGTGCTAAAAATAAACTACTGTGTCCCATGGCTTCTCTCAGCTCTTTCCTCTCTTCCCATGATGTAGGACCAGTGGGAGCCTTGAGGCTGAGGGTTGGAGTCCTCAGCCTGGGTGGGGAGGCAGGAGATACACTTCCATGGGGCCCTGCACCCCCAGACTCACCTTCCAGAGCAACACAGCCAGCAGCAGGAAGATAAGGATTCCCACCAGCAAGCTGATGGCGATGATCCATCCCACGACGTAGCCACGGGGCTCCAGATTGTGTAAGGCTTCGAAGACCACCTGGAAAGCAAACCCAGAGTGAAAGGGTTGCCCGAAGACAGGCAGCTTCAGTGCCAAGCAGCTGGCCTGGGCTTGACTTGGAGTGATCTAAAGTGATCTAAAACGATGTGCCCAGGGACGAGAGTCGGGGAGTGAGTGCAAGGGCCCGTGTGTGGGTTTCGCAGGTGGCAGCTTGGCAACCCTGGCATGACCGGATCCCCTAAACACCTGGATGAGGCCCGAACACTGCTGGGTGTGGCCCCCAACAACAAAAAAAACAAAACAAAAAAGAGACGTGTCGGACTATGTTGAGGGTCTTCCCCTGGCTGGCGGTGAGGGGTTCTCATGAGGCCATGTGGAGCCACTGAGGCTCCGGTTCCCGAAGGGGCTGAAATAATTGCATCCCAGATTTCAGTGTCCGTGCCACTGAAGCAAATGTGCAAGCCGGATTTCAGCACCATGAAGGGGAACAGGGTAAGTGCCAGGTTGAGCTTGCACTGGCTGTTGACTCCTGACACGCAGAAGCCCCCCAGAAGACCCTAGGAGGGCTCCCACGGGCCACTGGCTGGCCTAGCCTGTGCTCTCATCACTCATTTTGGTCTCTGAGACAAGGGGTTCATTCCCAGGTTTCCTCTCTCAGCAAGCACCGATGGACAAGGTTTCACTGTGACCAAACACCACCAAGCTGTCCATCCTGACCTTTAAGGGGCTACGACAGCAGTGATTTTTCCCACACCCCTACAACTCCCAGACAAGGAGGAACATGTGGGGTGGTGGTTGGTAGGGGAGAAAATGCCTCCAACTCTGTCATTTTACGGCTGCCAGTTTCTATCTGGTTCGGATTAGAGATTCCCATCGGCAAAGCAGATAGACTCATGCTTTGGGGCTTCCCCTGACCCCCAAACCCAAATCACCTCCCCCACCCTATTCAGAAGCCCTCTGGGGGCATTGGACGGATGACCTATGAGGCACTATGTCTGAGAGGAGTAAGTTTAGATACTATACTTTCTCTGCTGCAAAATGGGGACTCCCACCCCCTTTTAAAAGGAAACCTAAAAGGGAAAAAGAGTTCAGGAAGGAAAGACACGTGGCAGAGCTGCTGGTCGAACTGTTGGATAGGATTGCCGAGCATGCCGTGATCGTGCCGTGGGCCACATGCAAGAAAGACAGCCTGGTATAGTCCCTATCCTTCTAGAAAGGACTCTCTCCTTCCCTCCTTCCCCCTCTCTCTTTCCCCTCTTTCCCCTCTATGTTCCTCCTTCCTTTCTCTTTCCTCCCTCCTTCCCTCCCTCCCTCCCTTCCTTCCTTCCTCCCTTCCTCTCTCCCTCCCTCCCTCCCTCCCACCCTCCTCCTTTCTTTCTTCCTTCCTTCCTTCCTTCCTTCCTTCCTTCCTTCCTTCCTTCCTTCCTTCCTTCCTTCCTTCCTTCCTTCCTTTCTTTCTTTCTTTCTTGCTCTGTGCCTAGAGATCACTCCTGGCGAGCTCAGGGGACCATAGGAGGGAACTGCTGATCAAACCTAGGTGGCTGTGTGCAAGGAAAGCGCCTTACTTGCTGTACAATTGCTCCAGCCCTCACTCCAGTTTCTTATGTGCAGCCTCAGTAACCATCCCAGTCCGGGCTTCATCTCTCTCCCCTGTCTCTGCCCTGTTTCCCTTTATTTAGACGATGACCATGTGTCTCATCAGGCCAGGGAGACATGCCAACAACCAATCTTTGGATGATTTCTTCATCGTTACAGGGTGTCATGGAATGTAGGCATCATAGAGAATGATTGTCTGGCCCTCGCCAGATGCCCCACTGCACATCTGAGCTGCCTGGCGCAGCCAATTGGAGCCCTGAGCCCTGTGGTCTGTGCTGCCAGGTATGGATGGAAGCATCGTGACTCTGGATGATTCAGTGCATGAGGCTCTGTTCAGCCTCGGCTCCATCTAGCCCTTTCTGTCCCTTGAGGGGCATGTGATACACGCTAGCCGGGCACTCATCTCTCTGTGAGGTCTTGGGCTCATGTGTTTTTGCAGGCTTATTTTAAAAAGCAATTTCCTTTTTTTCTTGGATTTTTTGGGTCACACCCAGTGATGCACAGGGTTACTCCTTGCTCTGCACTCAGGAATTACTCCTGGCTGTGCTCAAGGGACCATATGGGATGCTGGTGACTGAACCCAGGTCGGTTGCATGCAAGGCAAATGTCCTACCTACTGTACTATCGCTCCAGCCCCCAAAAGAATTTCCTTCTAAGGTGCCAGAGAGGTAGTAAGGCTCTTGCTATGCATGTGGCCAACTCAGGTTTAACCCCAGCACCAGACATTGTCCCTTGAGTGTGCCAGGAGTGATCCCTGAGCTCAGTCAGGAGTAAGCCCAGAGCACTATTGGATGTGACCCCAAAACAAAACAAACACAAGAGGAACTTCTTTTTAAAATAGGGGTCACCCATTTGGTGCTCAGGCCAGTAATAGAACACTTCTTAGGTCCAGAGGCACTTGTGGGCTACCAGGGCTACTGCCCATAGTTTGTGATGGGCCATACAGTGCCCGGGATCAAACTCTGGGTCCTGTACTTTCAATGCAAGTGCTCTGCTTCTTGAGCTGTCTCCCTTGTCATTGTAGACTACTTTCTCTCCCCTTTCTAGGCCGGTCCATTTGACAAACCTCACTATTGAACCCTTAAAAATATATCCTTTGGTTCATTGATTCTGCATCTAAATTTTTACCAAAAGGCCAGAAACAGAAAACAGAAAAAGTTCCGTATTTGCAGATGTTCACATCAGAACTATTTATGTTGGCGCAGTGCTAGATTTCCTACATGCTAATTTTCTGTTTCCTATATGCTAATTTCCTATATGCTAATTTCCTATATGCTTTCCTATATGCTAATTTGCTATATGCTGAACAATGACAGTCACAGAGGAGCAAACTATGCTTAGCTGCAATGGGACCTCACAGAACTATTAAAGGTGATTGAAAATTTGGCAAAGTATAATTTTAGAAAATTTCAAGACATGACTCATACAAATACATAGCAAGTATATGTCAAAGATCTATTTATTAATTTATTTTAAGTGTTTTTATGTTTTTTTTTGCCATACCCAGCAGTGCTCAGGGCTTACTTCTGGCTCAGGTATCACTCTTGTGGGTTCATGGGATGATATGGGGATAGAACTTAGATCAGCCACATGTAAGGCAAGCACCCACCTACTGTACTATCTCTCTGGCCCTCTACTTAATTCTTTATTGAGGAACCAGGATGGCAAAGTTGTTCAAAGCAGGGTATGACTATATATGATCCAGAGAAAAATGAATGCTGAAATCAGATAGAAACTAGTTCACACCCTCCACGGGAGCAAACAGGGATTTTATTTTCTGTCAGACAGAAATAACTTTCACCTATACTGACAAAAGTAATTGACAATGTATGAGTTTTCTAAAGTTAAAATTTTTCCTTCACAGCCTGTGGACCTGAGAGACCTGGGAAGGTTTCTTTGTTTTATTATTATTATTATTATTATTGCGGCTAGTTGATCTCTTTGTAAGTCTATGGAACAAGGTTGGTAGATAAGCCTATGGCTGCAGGGTTTATGGCAGCAGCAGTGGTGGTGGAATGTGGGTGTGGCTTCTGGGACTTCCAGAAGAATGTGGAGGTTGCCTATTCTGTCTGTGAGAAGGCCCTGGAGATTTCAGCTAAAAAGACCCTCTTGTGTTTGGGAAAGTTTGTTAAACCAGGGCTCATTTCAAAGTTCAATGAGCCTAAGAAGCACGTGAAGATAATGTTATAAGATGGGCCTCGAATCAGCAAGACTTGGGGGTCCTGAAGCTCCACCTTCAAACAAGCTCCCTGGTGATGCTGTTCCTGGTGGTTCAGGGCCCACCCCGTGAGCACAAAGGTGCTAGCCAGAGTTCTAGTGCATCACTGAAAGGACACACCCCTTTTGCCTGAAGTCTGTTCCACATTACTTTTGAAAATAGAGTAACAACCTAGGGTAATGGAAAAATGTCACATCCTTGAGAGAAAACAGTCAAATCTGAAACTGTATTTGACTTCAGGTTTTCTGGAAAATGGAAGTTTTAAGAGCAGAGGATGCTCCTGAGATGATGGATGAGTCCCCACACTTTTTCTGTGTTTCACTACTGAATAATTTTTGAAATTGGGCATTGTAGAATCAAGTTAAAAACCTTAGAAAATAGAGATTCTGCTCCAACAGTTTTTTTCTGAGAAGCAGCCTGCCCTACTCTTCACTTCCCTACAGAGTGAATTACTCATTTATCTTTCAAGATAGAGCAATTTTCATCTTCTTTCAGCAAAGCTACTAAGGCATCTCAGTGAGTAAAAGAGAAGCCAAGTGGGGAATTATCTGGTTGTCAGTAAGGTGGACAACCACAGTTGTCAGTAAGGTGGACAACCACACTCTGCCTGCTCAGCCCCCTGTTCCAAGCTTGTCCCTCTGGAAGGCCACCACCCCAGTTGCCCTGTACCACCTCAAGGGGACCCTGGTTCCATGAGTTTAAGTTTCAAACTGTAGCTCAGTGCCTGAGTCCCACCTTCACATTCTCTCTCTGTTTATGGTAATAATGCATTTTCTGGCCTGTGGATTCTAGAACACTGTGAATTCCTACACAACAGGTGTATTCTCTCTCCTAATCCAAGATTATTATCCATTTTATGACTCAAGAATATAAGGCTGATACACTCATTGTTCTACCTGTCACATCAGATAAAGCATGGATATGACTCAGTCTACAACAAAAGAGATGGTGGAATTTGAAGCTCAAGATCTTCAGGTGTTTTTATTTCTATTTCAAAAAGGTATTTGCAAATGTTATTTTTTCTCAGAGTGTTGGCAACCCACTCATCCATCTACACATCCATTTGTCCACCTATCTTTCATTCATCCATCCATCTGACAACTACCCAATACATCCGCTTGTCCATCTGCTGACTACCCCATCTGTCCTTCCAACATTGCAACACCTATATATGCCAGGCCTTGCAAAGTTTCATTAAAGAATCAGTGATCTCCTGCTCTCACAG